CAGCGAGAAGGACTGCGGCCACACTGCACATACACAGTCTTTGCAGTGCACAGAAAGAGTGCACAGAAAGAGAAAAAGTGGGTTAAACATATTTAACCTAGTTTTTGGTAAAATAGGGAAAGATAAGAACCGGTAAGGTTTCTGTTGCTGTGTCTCTGCGGGACAGAGTCACTTCCTGTCTAGTTGACTAATGTTACAGAAAAACATCTGTGTTTTTGAGAGTTGGGAAATTTCCCCTTGCTTCGGAGAGATTTCTTTCTGCTTCCTGTTTGTCTGCAGGACATCCCCACAGTGGGCGCACTGAGAGGAAAAAATAAACCTGATAGATTGTAACTCTTACCTATTCTATTTAAAATGGAATGATAATTTGTTTGGAGTTACACTTTGATGTGTACATGTGAGTCCGTGAGTTTTCACTTCTGTATCAGATTGCAATACTTCCAGTGACTAAAGTTACCTAGAGTTTGCAAAGCAAAAATTAAATATTTATAAGGTAGGTAGACTTTTTCAATTATGGTAGGTAGAAATTTCACATGTAACATTACCATTACTGCCAACAAGGGTTTCGAAAAGGAAATACAAATCTAGACAAAAAGTCAATTTGGCTATTCTATAAAGCACTGCAGCATGATCTCTCGGTGGTTAACATTTGGGTTGATCTGATTTCTTAAAGCTTCCGTAAAATTTCAAAGGGGGATTTATATCTGACTGGTGGGTGTGAGGAACATGTTAGTAGCAACATTTTAATATGTATCAGGCTTTCTAAATGCGAGAGGCAATGGGTGTGTGTGTGCATGTGTATGAATCCCTTTTGTTATGACAAATACGTAGGACAATGGATTTCCCAAGTTACAAAAGCTTGGAACAAAAACTGAAGACCTAGGAAGGTAGGCCATGTCCACTATGCACACCAAAAGCTTTATGTAGTAAACAAGGTTATATCATCAATGCTGCTGTGTCCAAAACACACCTTATAGTGGCCTTAATAATTCTTCCTTATTGGTGAACATCTAATTGAAACATTGTTGGTTTGGTAGCTGGGTGTGTTTATGGACAATCAGGGTAGGGATTTGATATAGCCCATCTCTGGTAAAGCCTAAGTAGACTGGTCACCTAGAAAGCAGCTAAGCAGCTTGGGTGACCATCATCCTCAACAGGATGTTGCCATCTTAGTTAGCAGTTAGCATTTTCGGATCAATTGCAACTAAAAGGAGCCAGCAGCTGATGGAAGAATTGCCCCAACAGTAAAGTTAAAGCTCTTGCTCGTTTTTTTTCTATGACCTGCTAGAAGTTTTAACCCCTAACTCAGCTTTCCTCAACCTAGGGTTTTCTCCTTCAACCTAGAGGTTTCTTGGGCAATGACAAAAACTCTCAATAATAAAAAAAATCTCTCAATAAACACTGTCTTCAATGAGATTTTAAGGTGACTGTAGGGTTGTTTTTCACTGACCACAAATGTAGAGCACCATTCCAATGACCACCAATGTAAGAAGGCACCAATATAAGGGGACAATTCTCAATTTAATGCCCACATAAGCTGGCAATATCATTTTCAGTTTTTTTGGTGATTGTTAGTATTAGTTTAACTACCTGCTGTCCGGCCGTTGTAATTAAACGGCCGGACAGAGGCTTCTTGAGGGCGGGTGGGCGTCTTTAGACGTCTTATCCCATCCCGCTCGTGCATGCGCAGGAAACCGTCTTTGAATGTAAACAGCCAGCGATAGCTGTTTACATACAAGCGTCTGTAGAGACACCCGATCGCTTGTTATATCCGGTCAGGCCCCCTCCGTCACCGCCGCTGCTGTTCCCAGTGTGAGCCCAGGACCAGCACAGCAGCTCTGCAGCCGGAGATCAAACGGAGCTCAGTACACAAGCTCCGTTTGATCTCCTCTCCTCTTCTGAATGCAGGCAGTGATGTGTATTACATCACTGCCTGCATTCAGTGCCACAGGTACAGAAACCGGAGAGAAGCTGGTGAACCAGGTCTCTTCTTCATCAGCTTCTCCAGGGGTCCCTAGGTGATATTAGGGGTCTTAAGACCCCTGATGTCTCCATAAAGAGGACCTGTCACTGCAAATTGGCTACCACATAGGGAGCTTACTTGCTCCCTATGTGATAGCAATAAAGTTCAGTGGAAAAAAAAAGGTTTCAAAAAATTTGTTACAAAACAAAATTAAATAAATTAAAATCACATATCAAAGCAATAAAAAAAATTAAAGTCCCCTCGCCTGCACACTCAAACATGCGTCAAGCCCGCCTACGTGCGAAAACGCCGATTACATCCATTGTGCCGCACATGTTACATATCGCAGCAAACGTCGGAATGAGAGCAATAATTCTAGGGTCATCAATCACTGATAACACTAAACTGATGAGCGGTAAAAGCTTTTAACGCGTCGGCTATGGTCAATTTTGAGTATGGTAGTTTTTTGCGATTTAACTGGTGCGCACAATTTTAATGCTTGACATGTTTGGTGTCTATTTACTCAACGTGACCCCGTTGTAAACTCAACGTTTACAAAAAAAATTCAGGAAGGGGGTATAAACACTCCGGTCAGCAAGTGGTTAAATTCATGATAATTGCTAAACATTGTTTTTTCATTTAGAACAAAAGTGTGTTAAAAAATGTGCTCAAATACACCCAAGTGCACCACATTTGTTATTTTTTCAATCATTATATTTATAACTTTCTGATCATGCCAACATAGCATGAGCTGCAGCTGTAATAATTTTGCAGGGGTTCCCTTAGACATAAAATTATTTCAAGGTTTCCTGTTCTGCCTCTGGCATGTAGAAATGATTATGTTTATCTAACTGCAATTAAAAGAATTGGAACTAAGATGGAGCTGAAAAGAAAACCTCTCTATTTACAGCAACTTCAAGATTGTTTTCCTTAAAAAAACCTCCCAATTACCCTCTGCACCAAGAGAAGGAATCAAGTGCATCTTGGGAGTTCAGGTTCAATTTTAGACAGATAAAAGTAGCTAAACGGGGAAGAGAAGGGAACGGTGTTGTATAGGGAGTGCCACACCCCTGGTTTGGATTAATAGACAAAGGAGTTGTGGGGAGTGGGTTTTTTTAGGCACTCAAAACGATGGTTCACAAAAGACGTTTCTTTATATAAAAAATATAAATTTTATTGGATGCATGATTAAAAGTCATTCACAATATAAAAGATAATGAGTCAACCTAGGAGGATCACCTCCAATATCCCCCAGAACCCTGAGTATTGACTGATTGAGACTACATTAGCATGATTCATTTAGTTATTCATACAAAACATTCACTTGTAGGTCGCACTTCCTACAGTATGATTGACACTATTCAATTGACTAAACTCGTAGTCCATATTAGTTGTCTCCTGTGTTGACGGGACCCAGAAAAATGTTGTTTCTTTTATAGGTATTTTGGGCCACCTGTTCAAATCCAGTTGGACTTGATGTGGTCCGTTAACACTACTTATAGTAATTTCAAAGAAATAAGCTTAATCTTGACATGATATTAAGTTGTTCTGTCAATTTATAGTATCAACCATTAACATGATTAGTGCATTTCCATAAAGTTGACATTTATACAAAGCAACAGATAAAAGAAAAATCCACTGCAATCTGCAGCAAGTATCTGGAGGAAAGAGCCCAAATCTCTCTTAGGCAGCATCGCTGGCATGGATGGACTTGTTTCTCTCAATATTTGTGAGCTGACACTACATTTACATGTTTTATATACTGAGTGCATGTTTCTATATTCTTTCACTAATTTTACCCCACCCTGTTTTGTTAATAAAGCATCAAGATTTCACTCAGTCTGGCTTATTGCAGAATAGGAGGGTTAAGCTGCATATTGAGATCTACACAGGCCACAGGGTAACATATAGTGGGGAAAGACCATTTCCTCTGTGTTAAAAAAAAAGGCTGCCCTAACTGAATTAAATTTAATTTACCAAAGCATTGTATATCATAAACCACCATTTTTTTGCAATAAAATACTTTTTACATTTTTTAGCAATCTTTGTTGCATCTCAGAACTGCCCTGAGAATGCCCTGCAACCACTCTCTTTATATACAACACAGTTTATTACCTTAAATTTCTCAGTGTTAGAATACACATTATTGTATCTATTGCAACAACTACTGCAGTATACATTTAGGTCAGTAGATGGCAGTGTTTATAAGTTCTGTTATATCTATGGTATATACTCTGTTGTATTGAAAAAAGTAGAGAATAACACTGTGGCTTCCTTCCTGTTTTCCAAGCCATGTGCAGCATGCATATCTGACTGTGTGCTTGTGTTTCTCTGTGAGGCTGTGCAAGAAGTTCCAACACTCAGTGTGGGTTTTCAGATGGTGACAACAGTCAACCATGCTTGTGTAATGTGTGCTGAAATGGTCACTTGTAGTGCCCCAAGAAGGTATGTGTGGCAGACTAAATGCAAGTGCACAATTGGGAAACAGGGACAGAGTGTTGCCATTCTATATAACAGAAAACGCCTGAGTATGGCTTTCATAACAATATCATCAGGTATTACTTAAAAGAAGAACACTTCTTTTAAGTAACACTTTCATTGGCCCTTGCAGTGGGGCCACACTGCAAGGGTTAATAGAAAAAATAAAAGTTTTGCCTGAAGTTTCTTACTCAGGAAAGCTGTAGATTTAAGAATATTGGGAATTACTTTTGAAATTGTAGTACATGCTGAAGCTATTTATCTCTATATAGTTTAGACTAATGGTATAAAATGTGTCTGTTATTTAGTATCAGAAGTTAGAAAAAAAAAAAATTTCTGTTTTACCCTCAGGCAATTGAATGACTAGGCAAAGACACTCATGTAAACTTTTACAGTTATACTAATCTGAAGCTGGGCACATTTAGCTTTCTTAAATAGAACACTTCCCCATTAACTTTAATTGAAACTGACTCATCTCTTAAGTGTGGTGCTGTGAAATGGTTCATGGACAGGTCAGCAAGCTGATACGGCAGTTATTTACAAGATTTACAAAACTTACTCTGCTTGGCTGTTCCTTGCTGCTCCTGCAACTGGAAGACTGAGAGACGATTTACACCTCCACAGACAGAGCCTTTCTCTCCCTTGCACTCGTTGTTGCATTCTTCTTCTTTGGCATAGATTGAGGGCAGGCTGTTGCCACAGTAACACTCAGATCCATACGCTAAACCAGCATAGAGATACGTTCTGGTAAAGGAAATATGCATAAATGATTTAGCATCTCATTGTTATCAGGTTGAATAAAAATAGCCCAATATAAGTAAAACATAGGATTTTATGTGTAGAAATATGTAACCTGGTGCAAAAGTGCTCTAACCCAACAAACAAAGGCTGAGCTTCATTGCTATATATTATGATCTTGCATGTATTTAGAAAAAACTCTGGTCAAAACCTTTTTTTATAGAGTTGGAAAGGATTACAACTTCAGTCAGGTTTTATTGCTGTTTGTGTCTCTGTTGAGGTTAATGTTCCTCTTCTTGTGTTGATGACTTGTGTCAGGCCAGCTTGGATAAGGAGGAGTTGGTACCAATAGAATCACAGACAGCAAAAAAAAAGGCCTACGTCACTGACTGTGTCTCTTCCTGTCCTGGTAACAAGTGTCATGTGGGAGAGGAAGTAAGCAGAAATCTGCCCAGACAAAAATAAAGCTTAATCAGGGTTTCTAACCCTTCCCAACTCTTTCAACATTAACACAATGCTGCCTGGAGATGAACTTCATCATTCTTTTTGACAGTTTATTAAATAACTTTGATTGTATTTCGTGTAACGCTAACTGCTATTTATGACCAAAATGTCTAACTGTCTAGAGTACAACTATTCCTAGTGTTTCCTTAATGTTAACACTTATATAGTTCATTCAATGACAAATACTTTCGCAAATTTCCATTTTTTTGGGAAATTTCATTTCAATTTAAAGAATGTTTTCAGTTTCACATGAAAGAAAATATAGATGGTTAAATGACGATATATAAAAGTCTAGAGCAATAAAGCCCAACTCCATAAAAAACTATGTATTACTATGTGTATTTTTCAACATAGTTTTACACATACAGCTAAAGTGAGTTGAGTTCTGCACAGATAAGATAACATAAGATGCTATTTAAATGAACTGATGTATAATAAAACTAATTACAGTTATGCAACTGGCTAAACAGTGAAGCAGAATCAGAATGTGTGACACGTCCTTTTTCTTTGTGCATGATGACAATTAAGGTGGTCCATGTTAACTCTGATATATAGCATAAAACATCTGGGGTCCAAAAGCAACATTTTGACTTCTTTCAGAATTTGTCCAATTTGTGTGTGTTTTTTTTTAAATTGCAAACATAAAACACATTTTGTATCTGTTCATTAAACGTGTTTTAGAAAAACTTAGGAGCCTAGCTAGAAATGTTTTTGTTAATATGACAGTATGGGTAAGAAATGTTCTGTATTGTGCTGGCCACTGTCCTGCTCCTATATTAAGGAGAGCTATTGTAAGGTTGGAAGCAATATTATAGTTGATTACTGACATCACATGAGAATGGTAGAGGACCAGCTGACAAGGGAACATCCACAGCACTACATTAGTGGTTCCCTGCACCTGAATACAGCGGTGGTGAGGGATCTGGATAAGGGAGTTAAGTGACTATAAATTGCTTCAACAGGTAAGAAACAAATTGTTGCAGTCTGGGTTAGAAAGGGCTGTGGCAGGAATGGGAGAGGGACAAAAAAATCCATGAATGAGGTTTTAATCTAGCCACACTCGAAGAGTCTGATTGCACATTCTACTTTAGTTTTACCAGCTGATATGAAATATGACTTACCTAAAGAAACCAATTGGTTTATATCTGATCAGTTAGACCCTCACAGTATGCAATAATTAGATAATATAATAGAATTATACAATATGAATATAGCCAGTTTGAGATCAACCAAGACCTCTAGTCTTTTGGGTATAATGTTAAAGCAAACATGGAAATGAGACCTCATAAGGCAAAAATAATCTTATGACAGTAGATCTAAGCCCCCTTCCTTCTTCTCAGAATCGCAAAAAACTTAGAATCCATAAAAACTGTTATAATTGATAATTGCTTATATATACACTCAGTGGCCAGATTATTATGACCATCCCATCAGTACTTTGTTGGGTCACGAGATGACTCCACGAGATGACTTTGTGGGGCCGCCTCGTGACTCCACGAGATGTTGAAAGGTGATGCGAGGAATCTGACACTGCACTGTTGCCCTTCTGTTTTCTTGTACCAGTCTTGCCACTCTCCGTTCTGCACTAACATTGACTAGTCGCTGACAGCCACAATTCGCACATTCAGACCCAGATTTTCGGCTGACAGTCCAGTCTTTAAACACTTTAACAACAGCTGCTCTTGAACATTTAACGAATTCTGCTGTTTTGCTAATACTCGCTCCATTGCTTGAGCGCCAACAATCATCCTACATTCAAAGGCGCGTTGTTTACCCATATCTTCAGAAAAAAAATTACTTATACTGTCGTGGTAAACCACCTGCTTCCCTATGTATAATGGTCTGGCCCTCTAGCAACTTCAGCGTGAAATTATAGCTAATTATAGCTAATTTGCTATAAGAGAGAGATACCTCTGTGCAAAATAAAGCCCTGCTTTTAAATTAGTTAAAAGTCCTTCTTTAGTTAGAAATAATTCATATACTTACATTATAGTAAAAAAATTCAACTGCCAGTAACCAAATGTTAAATATATGTATTACTGATCACTGGAGTTCTGTTTAAAATAATGATATAGCAACTGATTAGTGGGTAGCTAAGAAATGTGAAATTGTGCAGGTGGACACAGCAGGTCTTTCTTTATTTGTGAAAAAAAACAGGAGTTGCTATAAACCCATATGTTGTCCTCATACGGTGTGATAATTTATGTAAATATCTATTCTGTCAGTTCCCTTATACTTGCACTTACTAATTTCTTTTTTAATACCTTTTTTAAATTTATTGTTCTAAATTCTGGTATAAATCTTGGTTTGACATCAGAATGCAAATGTTAATTAATATCTAATATAAAATACATATAATTATTGATATGTTATCAATGTTTCTGAGTACATCCAGTACTTATGTATGGGTAAGAGTCATCCAAAATTAGCCAACAATGTAGTGTCTTCCTGTATGTCCACTGCCTTTATACTGACCCTGTGTTCTAATCCGTGGCTTGTCTCTGATTCTGAATCTACAACCCTGATCTTGCTTGTTAGCACTGCTGAGATACACAGGCTTGTGAAGTTATACCTAAATATTAAGCTTTTCTATTAAAATGGTGCATACCCCACCCACTCCCTCTCTTTAAGTCTCCCTATTGGTCATGCTGAACATCAGCCAAACAAAATACATATATTGGAGTGGGTTTTACCTGCTAAAGATTTGTCATTTCTGTCCATTCAGTATAATATAAATGGTTCTGTCATATAGCACAGTCAAAAGGATGATACCACTTTCTCAACAAATTCACTCCTGACACCACCACCAGTGGTGTATTCTGGTTTGGGGATGCCCTAGGCAAGACGAAACTAGGGCACCCCCCCTAAATCTGTAGGATCTCAGGGAGGCTGTGCAGGATCTGTGGTGGGCTCTGCTATAGAGCCCACCACAGATCCTGCAAAGTCTCCGAGACCCTGCAGAGCCCCCCACAGATCATGCACACCCCCTCTGAGACCCTGCAGACCGGTGTAGGATGTGTGGTGGGCTCTGCCCAACATAGACCCCACCACAGATCCTGTACAGCCCACCCGAGACTCTCAGGTGGGCTGTGCAGAATCCATGCTGGGCTCTGCAGGGTCCCTTTAGCAGGAGTGTGATCATCTTACCTGCTGCTTGGTCCCCAGCCTCCTCCACCGCTGGACTGGTGTTGCAGGACCTGGCCTCCTCCGCAGCCCAACGGCTCTTCGGTGACCCAGTATTCTGTCGAGAATGCACCGGCTTCCAGCGTCACAACGGCGCCCTGGCCCCGCCTCTTCCTGATCTGATGTCGTCGCAGCCTTCTCGCCGCTTCATCTGCCTCCTCGCCCACTCAGTCCTTTGACTCCTCCACTGCTGTCTCCTCCACACGGCTGCCTAACTTTTTTGGGGGCGGCATTTTTGCCACCTCCCTGAAATCTGCCGCCTAAGGCAAACGCCTTGTTTGCCTTGCGACAGATATGCCCCTGACCCCCACACCTTCAGCCTATTTACTGGGCAGAGAATAAGCATTAAGAAACAAATTAGGACACTGCTTTGTTTGCTGTGCTCTCTCCTGCTGCCATCTAACTCCATGTCAGCACATCTGCATGCAGCATGCCTGACTGGCTCTCAGTGCTGCCTTTCTATTCCCAGCCTGAGCTCTGCTGTACAAAAACCTGCAAGAGGTTGATCTCAAGTCACATTCAGGTATGTATACAGGTATGTATTAAAAAAATAGTTTGAAAACATCAATCTAGTACAATGCATTTAAAAATGCATTTAATTATTTAATATTAAATGCAGAGCTGCAATAAGTATTTTTTTTTAAATCTGTCTGAGGTTCAACTTCAATGACCACTAATGAGGCTCATGAAGTGAGAGAAGGAGCGGGTGAAGTGTAGTAAAAATATGGATCTAAATTTATCTCTGGACACTAGAAACTCAAATTGCATTGAAATCAATGGGATACCATTTTCCATGTTCACCCAAATGGCCTGTAAATACCACATGGTGCTCTTTAGTGTGTTTGGGGTTCAGTTTATCACTAGTTGGGGTATTTTAGCCAATAGATGCAAAAAAGGTGTGAAAATATCACCTTAAAAATACTCTTTTGAGGGGAATTTATCAAAACTGTGCATGGCAACCAATCAGCTCTCTCGTTCATTTGTTCAGTTAAGATTTAAAAATGAAAGAGATAAGCCAATTGGTTTCCCTGCTCATCTGCTCCAGATTTTCTCTGCTCCAGTTTTGATAAATCCCCTTCTCTGTGTATTAAACACCAATCTGTGTTATGTAGTCCTACTCTAATCAATGAAACGTTTGATATACACCAACCAAGAAATACGCTATTCTGATACAATAGCATATGAAAATTCAAAATGAAAGAAGCCAGTGGAAAACATCTCATGCAAATGAACCAAATACATTGGGCTAACCTGCTAAAACTGCCATGGTAACAAACTAAAAATATCAACTATGGATGGTTTAAAGCATGGCACTTCCAAATTCACAAAATACTTCATCTTAAGAAGAATTGAATACAATATTTAGCTCCTGTACCAAACTGCAAAAAAATATGATGTCCATTATTACAGTATCTCTAAACTTTAAAACGGTGCGCCATGGATTCAGACGAATGAGCAGACTATGGGCCCGTCCCAGGCCACTCACGTCACACGCTGAGCTATTCGGGCGGTGTAATATGATGCGGTGGGAAATTGCCAGGGAGAGGGGAGATACGCAACGTCTCGCTGGAGAGGCTGTTAGAACTAATTTGTCAACAAGATTGTAAATAGTATGTGAGTATTGGCGTTATCGTGTGGATTTTTCAATTTAATTCAGAAGTTTTTGCCCCCTTGATGATCAAATGAGTTGCTTGATTAGTGAGTTTGTGCTGTGGGATAGAGAGGAGTTGATATACTTTTTCTAAGGTGTTATTGATTAACTATATATATATTATTGGAAATAGCAGGTTTTACATATTGGAATGGATTGAAGTTACTATATTTTATTATTGGATAATTATGTATTTATATGTAATATTTAATGGAGGTCTTATTTAGTAAGTCATACTGCGCATGCTATGTACTCATGTGATAATAATGTATTTACATTTTGGAGATAGTGGAGGTGTTATATGTGAACATCTTGAGAATATGGGGGTGTTTTGTATTAGTAATTGATATTCATGTATATATCTTTTGATTACTGCTCTCTTCGATTATGAGTTGTTTATGTTTTACAAATGTTCCCCCCCCTTCATGTGGGGGTAGAGTATGGTGAGTGTTGGGGGGTTCTTTGATTGTCTTCGGGGGAGCATTTCTTTAACTCAAATGGCCAACTTGAATATGCTTTGCAATTTATGTGAACCAGGCACCCCTTCTTTTAATGCAAACATTTGCTAGAAACGTGCAAGGTTATATTGCAGTAGGATGATAATTAACTGTGAATATTTTTTTCACAAAGAAAAAGACAGAAAATGTGTTTTCATTTTTAGGAAAATCAAACTTACAAGCATTTTATTAACTATATAAATGAAACTCAATCGGGGAAAAAGAAGTCAGTTAGACATGCACTAAGCATCCGCTTCAATGCTTAGATCTACTTAGATGAAAATCTCAGTCCTTGCAAACAGCACAGGTGTAATGCTAACAGGTAGAATGGTCCTACTAAGTTAAGCTGACTCTCATCCGGGTTATTAGACAGTTCCAGGTTCTTTTACACATATTTTCTCTATTTGCAGCAAGCTCCAGAAACATGAAATTATGGAGTGTTCTAAAATAGAAAACCATCATGCATGGTCCCTGTGCAGCCTGTCCTTTCTCACCACTTATGCCTTACTACTGGCCAGAAATGGAGTTAGGTAGACTCAGTGGCCAATAGAAAACTGCAGGCAGCAGGAAATAGGTGGGATGCCCAGTGATCAAGTTAGCTCTGGCCACAATTGGCATTATAGAGTATACCCCAGAGTCTCAGGTTCCTGGAACCCTCTGTAAAGAGAGTGAGTATATGTGCAAGTATTTGGAGGTACTAGCTAACTAGGACAGATGCCAGCTTAAAGTTATCCTGTTTTGCTCATACAGCTTAAAGCCACAGGTTCACTTTTATGCTGGCTCCCCCAGCTGCTTATATTGACCCTACTTTCAATTTCCTGCCACACTATTTGGCTGCCAGGAGCAACTCTGAGACGGCTTATTTTCTGCTCATGCAGTATATAACAGCACTCGTTGCCTGAGAGGCGAAACACCAAGCACTAATGCTGTCAAGTATTAGCAAGGGTAGCGAGTAACATTTCTCTTCATACTAAGAATTACTGCATATTCTTTTTTCACTCTTGCAAGCTGAATGGAGTGGAAGGAGAGTGATGGGAAGATAAATATGTGCTTCTAGGAGGTAGTTGGTCGCATTTAGAACAAATTCACATTAACCCCTTCATGACTGAGCTTGTTTTTAGTTTCTGTTCGTAAATGACTGACACACTTTTGACATTTTTGCTGTGTGATTCTTCCATGTCAGTAATATACTTTCTTACAAAGTGCACCCACACATATTATATACTGTTTTTTAGAGGACAGATAGGGCTACATATTTATATCACATATGTGTGTCTAACGCCTCAATTAGGACAAATAAAATATAAAAAAGAGGAAAAAAAAACACTTTTTTACCAGTTTTGATTTGTAGTATTTTTTTTACAAAACCAGCACAGCTAAAAAAATGCTATAAATACAATCATGTATTTGTCCCTTATTTTATTGATTTTTTTTACACATTTTTTTTTACACTTTTCACACTTTTTTTTTTTTTTACACTTTTCACTTTTTTTAAACTTAAAAATGTTATTTTATTTATTTAATTATATCAAGCAGACATTGTGAATTAATCTCACTGTTACTGCATGATAAATTAATAAATTTTTGGTTATTATCAGGCTGCTTCAAACTTCAGAACAGCCGATAATAAGTTAGTGACACTGATCCTGCAGCAGTTCAGGATTCAGCTGTCACTAAAGGTTTTCTGATTGTTGCAACAACGATTAGCAAACTGAAACATTCTCCTTTCAAGAATAGATACATTTTGTATCTATTCATGAAAGAAAAAAAAAAAAGCCAGTATAGCTTGAGAGAGATATCTCTCTCGATCTATACGAGCTGTCAGAATGCCGGCAAAAGACGGCATGTGTGTCCCTCTGCTTTCACTCTCAGACACCCGATATTAAGGTATCGGGTGTCTGAAAAAGGTTAACCCTTTCATTAATGAATGCCTCTGTAGTAAGGGCATCCATTAATGAATGTTAAAAGCTGATTCTCAGCGGTTAACAGTCCTCTAAAGCAGCAAATAACTCGTCATGTACAGTGTACGTGACGAGTCATTTGGTCCCTTTGTGGCTGGACGTACAGTGTACGTCTCCCGTCACAAAGGGGTTAAAAGTCATGTCACATTGGCAATTCTGATTTGTTGACACCCCACCATGGTGGAACTTCCCTTCCCTAATGGGTGTCACTCCCTTTCTGGACAAAATACTATGAAATCTTGCTGGATTGGCCAAGGAGGGAGTGATGCTGTAGGAGAAAGTGTTAAAATGACTTATTGTCATTTTTCTTAGGTCGTAGAACACTGTGGCTTTGAGAGTCCTATCTTCCACATTGTCAGTAAAACATCCAATATATGTACCTGAAACATGAAAAAATCTGCATTAGCATACAGAAAAGGCAATTCACTTGTGTCCCAACCTAATTGTAACATACACAATGTGCAGGGCATACAGGTATAGAGGCAATCATGGGTGCAGTGGAGATAAGCCAAAGCATCAGCATTTTATTGTCAACATTTTGGTTCACACTATCTGCGTTCAGGCTACGCTGGTTGTTTATTCCAGTGCAGCCCGATTGCAAAATAAGGCAAATTGCCTTGTCATGGATTGGCTCGGTTCACAGCACCATGTTCCAGTAGTGTTCCAGTAGTGTTCCAGTAGTGAGCGCTTATGAAAATTACGGCATGCAGTACTTTTTTTCAAGCACACTGCAGTGAGACACAGTACAACTGCATCGCACTGCAGTGAGCCCATAGAGCTGAATTAAATGTCACTTGTGAGATTTCAATAAACTTCTAAAATCAAAAACAAACAGCACAATTCAGTTCAATCAAGTGTATTGGCACTGTTCGGGGTCACGCGCACCAGCAGCCACACAGTTGAGTGCGGCTGCTGTTGTGAACGTATCCTAATAAAGATTGATTGAGCTTCAACGAATTGTTGAAAATAAAATGCTTTAACCTA